TTTTTTATCCCTTCTGTTACTCTGTGTCTTTTGATTGGTACATTCAGTCCATTTACATTAAGGGTGATTATTGAAAGATGTACTTATTGCCATTGCAGGCTTTAGATTTGTGGTTATGAAAGGTTTAGGGGTAGCTTCTTTACTATGTAGTCATCTAGCTTAACTCACTTATTAAGCTATTATAAGCACAGTCTGATGATTCTTTATTTTTCTCCCTTCTTTTTCCTCCTCCTCCATTCTTTATATGTTAGGTGTTTTAATCTGTACTCTTTTGTGTTTCCTTTGATTGTTTTTGTGCATAGTTGATTTTATTTTTTGCCTTTAGTTAGTATTTGGTTGGTGTGCTTTCTTTGGTGTAGTTTTGTTTTCTCTGGTGACATCTATTTAGCCTTAGGAGTGCTTCCATCTAGAGCAGTCCCTTTAAAATATCCTGTAGAGGTGGTTTGTGGGAGGCAAATTCCTCAACTTTTGCTTGTCTCGGATTTGTTTAATCCCTCCTTCATATTTAAATGATAATTGTGCTGGATACAGTATTCTTGGTTCAAGGCCCTTGTGTTTCATTACATTAAATATATCATGCCATTCTCTTCTGGCCTGTAAGGTTTCTGTTGAGAAGTCTGATGATAGCCTGATGGGTTTTCCTTTGTAGGTGAACTTTTTTTCTCTCTCTGGCTGCATTTAATACTTTGTCCTTGTCCTTGATATTTGCCATTTTAATTATTATGTGTCTTGGTGTGTCCTCCCTGCGTCCCTTGTGTTGGGAGATCTGTGGGCTTCCATGATCTGAGAGACTATTTCTTTCCCCAGTTTGAGGAAGTTTTTAGCAATTATTTCTTCAGAGACACTTTCTATCCCTTTCTCTCTCTCTTCTTCTTCTTCTGGTATCCCTATAATGTGAATATTGTTCTGTTTGAATTGGTCATACAGTTCTCTTAATATTCTTTCATTCCTGAAGATCCTTTTATTTCTTTCTACCTCAGCCTCTCTGTATTCCTGTTCTCTGATTTCTATTCCATTAACAGCCTCTTGCGCCTCATCCAGTCTGCTCTTAAGTCCTTCCAGAGATTGTTTTTTTTCTGTATTCTCCCTCCCAACTTGATTCTTTAGCTCTTGCATATTTCTCTGTAGGTCTGTCAGCATGGTTATGACCTTTATTTTGAATTCTTTTTCAGGAGGATTGGTTAAATCTGTCTCCCCAGGGCCTCTCTCAGGGGTTGTCTGGGTGATTCTGGATTGGACCAAATTCTTCTGCCTTTTCAGGGTGATAGAGGTTGTCATAGGCAGGTAGCGCATGTGTTAGCTGGGAGAACAAAGTCCCTTCCTGCTTGCTGGTTGCTCTGCCCTTCTCCACTGCCTGTGCCAGTTACCCACACATTGGGAGCAGACCTCAGGGCAGCCCAGAGCGGGGAGAGGCAGGCATGCCGGGTGTGTGCTCCTGCATGAACAGCACCCCTTTGCACCCTGCCCCTGCCAGCTGCATGCCAGTGGCAGCCCCAGGTCTGGCCTGGGTGGCTGTGTGCTGGGAGGAGGCTCTGAGCGGCTGCTGTGGGCACGGATGTGCCCAGGCTGCTCTGCTGGGGCCACACGGGAGGGGGAATGAATGGCAGGTTGCTTATCACCGTGAGGGGTTGCAGGGCTGCATTGCCTCCCCGGGGGCTGGGGCGCCTGGAGTTCCCCAGGATTCCCAGCTGCTTGGCTGAGTGTGCCGAGACAATTCCCTCCAGCTGTGAGGCCCCTGTCCCTTTAAGACTTTCAAAAAGCACTTGCTTTTCCTTCATCCTGGGGGAGCCAGCTGTGGGGACCCGCTTTCAGATTTTAGTTTTCCGTTTTCCTAATATCCAACACACCATGCAATGTGTGTCTGCTCTCCCGGTGTGGATGACTAGGGCTTGGTATTTAGCAGTCCTGGGCTCCCTCTCCCTCCCTGCTCCAACTCCTCTCCTCCCACTGGTAGGCTGGGGTGTGGGGAGTGTTTGGGTCCTGCCAGGCCACGGCTTGTATCTTACCCCCTTCATGTGATGCTGAGTTCTCGCAGATGTAGATGTAGCCTGGCTGTTGTACTGTATCCTCTGATCTCTCTGTTAAGTGTAGTTTTATTTGTTGTATTTTCAAAAATATATATGGTTTTGGGAGGAGATTTCTGCTGTCCTACTCACACTGCCATCTTCCCAAAATCTCCCTGTTAATATTTCTGAGCAGTTCCGTCTCCTGTTCTAACTTGAGCTGTTTCAGATAAAGTTCTGGTATCTGGGTTGATGTAATCTACAAAAAAACACATCAGTTTTAGCCTTTTGCTGGATTATTTGCATATCCTTTGAGACTGGCAATTTTTACATATCCCAAGAAAAGTAGATGGTGTGGGGGTGTGGTGAGCAAGGTTTAAGCCCTGAAGTGTACCCAGGAGTAAATTAAAAAACATGTGTTATGGGGAAGGAACACTGATGATCCGCAGGCAGCTGGTCTCTTGAGATTTTTTAGTTATCTGTGATGTCCATGTTAATGTCATGTAAATGTACACACCTGACCTGTATCCTGGAAATGTTCTTGGTGTCCACCATGACATGGCCTTCACCTGTGAACATGAAGTCTGCCTGGGAGCAGCTCTGTCTGGCACAGCATCCTGTGGTGTGGGGGAGACATCAGGGAAAAACACCTCAGTTGTCCAGCTCCCGTGTGTGTAGGAGATTCAAACCAGGTCATCAGCTGTGGACGAGAACCCAGGGACCCAGGGAAGACTGCTCTTGGCTGTTAAGACCCTATCCACCTACCTCCGCAACTCCCTCTGTGTCCTAGATAGAGTGACATGAGATCTGATTAAAGAATGTACCATGCAAAAGAGGAAGTCAGCACATTACCTTGAAGACCTCATAAGTCAACAATGAGAGTATTTGTCTGTAAATAATTCAGAAACTCCTGAGATGCATGTAAGGCTGTAAGTTGGACAGTCTCTTCAATGGGGGGATTCAGAATTTTCCATACACACTTGGTATATAAAGTTTTTGGAAGATCATACATTCTGTACCTGAGAAAAGAACATAAAACACAGCTTAAAACCAGAAGGGACATATTTGTAAAGAAAAGGATCAGATGAGCCAAAGAATTAGAGCCTGAACTGGTTAGTGGATAAAAGATGACCTATAACTGATTCTCATGATTGCTGCTTCCAACATGTGTTATTCAACATGAGTCTCATCACTAATGAATATTAACTGTCTAACAAAAAGAAAAATGGATTTTGATATGTACTTTCTCCTCAAATAATCTAAAATTGTTCATTTCCCATGTGTGATATTTTGGGTTTTGTCCTTCAAAGTCTTCTTTTTTGCTTTATCTCAATATCTTTTTAGCCTACTTATTTTAAATTGCCCCTGCCACATTGTACTACAGTTCTTTTGTTTCCAACTCAAAGGAAAAAACCAGCAACCATCATTCTACTTAGATAATATAGTTTACTGGATATTCCTTCTGATAAGGAAATTGCTGACTCTACTGCTTCAGTCACTTAGAAGGATCAATACACATGGATCAGAGTCCAGCAACTTGGAGGGAGGTGTGACTTCTCTCTATTAAACAGTTTGGGGGAAATAGTCATTTTCGGGTTGAGCTAGCAGAGAAATGAAATTCCATAATAAACCCCTTTTTAAAATAAGGAAAGACTCCCTTGCACGAGCACCCAGGAGATAGGTGGTTTGTGCATAGCAGCCTTGCAGGGCAGGCTGGTGCCCCACCTGCATGCCCCACTCTGGATCTTCCTTTAGCCACTTGGTGCCAAGGCACTGCACAATGTGCATCTGGAAATCCATGCCCTTGCCCAGCAGCTCCAAAGGGTCAATAACCACATCCTCCTCACCACACGCTCTACAAATGGAAGAGGTAAAAACTGATCACAGGTTTGCCTGGGCCTAAGCAACTTGGGATGTTTGGTGATATCAAAATAGACTCCTTATGAGATTGCCAAGCCCACCGAGGAAGGATAGGGAATATTACCAGCTGTAGAATTCACTCAAGAAGCATACGGCCTTCTCAAGGAGGAGACAGGATTATAATAGCTTTATGCAATAAATAAAAACTAGCACTGACAATTCAAGTAGGTTCCCAGGAGGACAGAGGGACTGTCACCCAGAGAAAGCCAGCTGGATGCCCAGAAGCACCAAGAAAAAAGTGAATTCTTCATAGTCCAGAGTGAGCCCTCAAGCCTACAAGCTCAGAAACCAATGTGGACAGCTTTCTAAAAGGTGACCTCTGTCATATCAACTGAACTCACAAAGGCTGAAACCTACAAACTAGAATGTCACTTTATTAATTTGCATAGGGAAATATGACCTTCAGGTGCCTAGAAGCCTGAGGGGGCCAAGTGATCAGAAAGTTGCTTAGAGTTTCTCAGTAAAGATGAGCTGGTTGTCAGCTTGGCCTCTTGGTCATAGGGCCTTGCAGTTCTCCTCCTTCTTGAGCCTATTTCCTCTTCAGAAAGATGAAAAGTTTGCCCTGGGTGCCTATGAGGACCCTGGCACCCAGACCAGGACACCCCCAACCCCCATGCCCGCCCCCTGAATGGCCTCTTTGCTTAGAATTGCTAAGAGACATTAGCTTCTGTAAAACACTGCCTGAACTGCCTTTGGCCTAAAGAGAGAAAACAGATGAGATATCCTGGGAGGTAGAAGGTAATGGAGTAGAGTTAAGAAAGAACCTGTTCGCGCAGAAGTCAGATGACAACACAGAATAAGGCCAGATAAGGAAACAAAGACACCTCAGTCCCTACCTCGAGAAAAGGAACAAAGAAGTGGTCAGCACCTGTACCAAGGATGGAAAAAGGTTGAGCTAGAAAATCAGCTTTCTGCTTCTGGTTCTCAGGCCTCACCAGGCATTTTAAATATCCCAGGTCAGCTGATTTGGCTGCTATGGCAAAAAGTCAGATTTGATGAGGCCAAATCACTCATGAGTGAGCTCTTTCATTTGTCTCATAATGACCTCCCGAGGGTGCCGAGTTGACCACCCCTCCAGGAGAACTCAGGCTTGCTATGAGTTTTCTATGTTTGACAGACCAGAATGATGGAGCGAGGGGAACACGCATAGCCCCGTCGGGGAGCAGGGCGCCATGTGGATATGCAGCACTGCCTCCTCCAGCCCATCCCAGTCCAGAAACTCCACCTGCTCCTCCAACTTCATGCGGTAGGCTAGTGACTGGAGCCAGAGGTGAGCTGAGCCCAGGTGGATGACCTCGACAGGGTCCCAGAATGGACCGTCTTCCTGAGCTATCTTCTCCTGGCCGTCTTCTTCATTGAGGAAGCGCTGGTAAAGTTCCTCTGTTAGGAATTTCCTATTGATAAACTTGGCTTTTGACCAAATCCACACCTGAAAACACAGAGCTAGGTCACTAATCTTTGATTTCAAATGCTGCTCTAACAATTTCTCCATGAGTCGCTCAGCATAAGTCACATAGAGGGACTCAGTGAGACAGAAAATCTCCTGGCCCTCAATGTCACATTGGAAGTGGTTACCAGGTAAAACAGGCAACTCCACTGAGCAACTTGGACAAGAACCGAGGCAGGGCATTCTGAGTGTCATGTGTCTGCACAAGAAGGACATTCTCCAGACACTAAAATGACGTTGCTCTTTTTCTGTTGCCTCAAGCAGAGTGGATAATTCAGTACTCTACTGCCAGCGGGCTGTAAAAATGGATGGGAGCCTGGCTGGGGCATGTACAGCAGCCGAATGGGGCAGGAATCCTGGTCAGACTGTGTTTTTAAGGCCTTTAGTCCAGGAAACTAGGATAATGGGAATATGACTGGGCTGTGGCAGATGAAACTGATGTCACCCTTGGCAGGTCAACGAGGCACTGTGGGTCAGGCTCGGACAACGGTGCTGACACACCCTGGGGGGCTGTATGCCCAGTAGGTGCCATCCAGCTGAGGCAAAAGGTGGTAAGCAGGTACTGCTGAAAAGTAGCTGCAAGCTGGCAGCATAGCCAGGTAGGAATGCCCTGCCGAGGCCTCACAAGGGCCCTTGCCTGTTCCTGACAGCCACATAGCCACCCATGGGTGCTGCCTCCTCCAGGACTGCGGCAGCATTCACAGTCCATGCAGCCCAGGCAAACATGTACAAGACCCTCCAGTGAGAAAGAGCCTTTGGTGTCTGCCTCAGACCCACTTCCACTGTCTGCGATCTATTCTACAGCCTTCAAGTTCATACATAAACGGTCCAGGAAACTACCAGAAGTTACCACCAGCATTTCAGAGGAAGGTCACCTTGAAAGGTGAAAGATTTATGCGATCTGAAGAGAACCAGAGTATAGAAGATCACTTTGAAAAGGTGAAAACAGACTACTTGCAAGTGGCAGATCAGTAAAATTAATTTCTGCATGATAAAGAAAAATAGAAAAAAATCATCATAAAATCTGTTCGTGTACAATCTCTTAGACGAGAGCCCGGTGGGTCTATCCTGGAGCAGTCCTCGGCTCTCCCACATGACATATCTAACAAAAACAGCTGAGAACGCAAGCCTGCTTTCTGTTTCTGGTAATGCCAGGCTGTGTTATTCAGGTAACCCTTTTGCTAACAATAAAAAGGCTGAATAAACTATTTTTCAAATCAACTTAAGCTATAATACAAAATAAACAATAAAAAAAGTGACATGGAAAGCAGCATTTAAAAATCTCCTTAAAGCAAGGTATGACAAGACAGTAGGAAACTGTCCAACCAAATTTTGGGGGAACACGTGACCCCAGAGATGCGTGTGGAATACTGGGTCACCAGAGCTTTGCTCTCTTGGCATTTGCCAAAAAAAAAAAAAAATCACACACACATTGAGGGTTCAGTTCCAGAGATCTCATAGGACATGGCATAGACATTGAGGCTGACTCCCCAGAGTTGGGGGGCGGGTGTCACAGGAGGCCCTCCCCCATCACCCTGAGACCTTTGGGAGCTATACTGGGTATGTGAGGTGAGCCAGAATCAAACATGCTGCTTGGTATGTATGTTCCCCAAAATTCACGGGTTGGAACCTAACCCTCAATGTGATTGTGTTTGGAGGTGGGCTTTTGTGGAAGGTTAAAGTCCTGAGGGTGCCCCTCGTGGTGGGATCAGCGGCCTTATAAAGGGGCCATAGAGAGCTCCCCGCCCCTTCCACACGTAAGGACACAGCCGGACGATGCCTATGAGCCAGGAAGGGGCTCTCAGCAGACACCGGATCTGTCTAGGCCATGCTCATGATCTTGTCAGCCTCCAGAAATTGTTAAGAAATAAACATTTGTTATTTAAGCCCCTGTTTTTGGTATTTTGCTATAGCAGTCTGAATGGACTAAGAATGCCCCCCATTTCCTCCACCCTGGTCAGAGGGAAAGGAGGGGAAGCCGCCTCCAGCATGTGAGTTCCAGAAGGGTCCTGGCCAGGTTTGCAAGGCCTGGGGCCAGTTAAACTCACAGCCCGTCCCCGGCAGATGCAAACAAAGCCCCTTGACCTGGACAGTGAGTACCCAGGTGTTTACAGTACCACACGAGCATAGAAGTTTGTAGTCTTTTCTCTGTCGTATTTCACAATTTAAAAAACGTTGTTAAAAACTGAATACAGAAAATCTGGCAACTTGAGGGCAATGAGCAGAAAAGTTAAACCAGAGAAGTCTCAGTGAGTCGAGTCACTCAGCAGAGCAGATCGTCCAGGGGGCGAAAGTGCCCCAGCCGCCTGGCTCAGTGAGAGGCCGGTCGCCGGGAGGTTGGGGCATCGCCTCTGCGGGCGGCTTGCAACGGGGCACTGGGCGCAGCCGGCACTCTGAGGGGCCCCAGCCGTCGCACAGGTCAGGACACCAAGGACAGACACGCTGTCAGGCAGGAGGAGAGGAAAGCGGAAGACCTCCTGCTTCAGAACAGCAGTGCGCTCTCTCGCTCACTCTCTCGCTCTCTCGCTCTCTGTCTCTCTCTGCGGAGGCCACGCTCCCGGGCAGCCTCACCCGCTGAGTCCTCTGGTTGGTCACCTTCACCATGACCTCCTTCCATAGGTCACAGCCCCTGGAATCCAACAATGTCAAATTCTTCACTTTCAATTCCATTTTTAGCTCCTGGTGAGAGAAAACCTCACTACACAATCCTGCATTACTAGGCCTACCCCATCTTTCCACGTCTTTTCCACTCTCTCCACACCCAGGCTTTCTAAAAGATGCTCCTATTCTGGCTCCTTGGAATTTCCACCAAGAGAAATGACAAGCCCAGCACGTCTCAGCAACACCCTGGAACCTCATTGGTTGTTCTCTGATGACTGGATCCTGTGTCTACAGGCACTGACTCCAGCCCAGCTCTTCTCTGGCATAAAAGCCATCAAGGTGCCTGGACCTAGGAAAGCCCCTCTGGAGGACCATCTGGGATGGGGTGGTTTGGCAAGCAAGTATTGTTCTGGGGTCCTGGGTCCTGGGGTCTGTGGTGGGCCAGCATTGCATATGAGAGTTCTGTGCACTATTCTCAAAACTTTTCTGTACATTTCAGGAAATGGTGCCAAGGCCTGAGATGGTAAGGCCTGGGTGTAGGCTGAGGCTCTGTCACTAGCTTACTGCAGGGTCTGGGGCAAAGCACCTCCCCTCTCCATGCCTCTGTCTGGTCTATACCACCAAGCCAGTTTGGGGCAGTGGGAGTGAAGGCCTTGTGCTCCTTACTGGGCCTGACGTTACCCCATTTTCTAGCTCTTACCTTTTTCAGCTCTTCATTCATTTGATTTGCTTCTGCAACCAGTGGCATCAGTTTGATGTAGTCCTGGAACACAGCCAGGACACCAGGGTCAGCCTTCCCACTCCTGTTGTTCACAGCACCTAGGGAAAAATTGGGATGCAAGTGACAGGCAGTCACTCTTTCTGGGATACTTTTCAGCAGTGGAGAAGTTTACATGCTCATCCTTCTTCCAGTCATTATCCAATTGTTCATCAAATATCTACATTTTAAAATTGCAAGCGTTTAATATGACCCATTGAGTAAAATAGAACTCTATGAGTTCATACTGATGTACATGAACAAATAAATAGGAGAGAAAACTTCTTTTTTTAGTTGAATTTTTCAACTAAATGTAGAAGAGATGGTGGATCTTAAAATTCACCATTTGACAAAAATCATAGTAATAATGAATCTCAGCAAAGATCAAAAGATGATACAACTAATGGGTGAAAGTATGGTGTCCTGACAGGGAGGCCACAAAGGATTTCCAGAAGGGCCTGGGTGACAGTGGAGAACAGGGGATTGGTCCACAGGGAGGCTGGTCAGAGGCCCTACAGTTCAGCCAGGGAGATAGAGGCCTGATGTTGGCAAGATACTGTGCAGTCCCCCTGAGTGACAGGTTTTCTAAAAAAATAAAAAATGTCATAAAATGCTAGAGCTGGAAGGGTTTTTGGTGAACTTCTAGTCCACCCCTCTCTGTTTCATAGGTGAGGTCCAGAGAAGGGAAGTGACTTCGCAAGAACACACAGTGAGTGTGCATGAGATCCTGGTTAATTCTCGTGGTGCTGCAGCAGAGGGGCACGAGGTGGTCAGTGCCTGGCCTCACTGCGGCTGCTGCCTCTGGGCACCTCAGAGCCCCCAGTCCCAGCTCTTGGATAGCAACTGGGAAATCCTGTGGCTGGGCAGGAAAGTTTACCAGACACTGCAGCTTTGCCTTGGTCATGATGGGCACCCCGTTAACAACCTGGCATTTGTTGTGCAGAGTGACTGCCACTTTGCCATCCAAATTTGTGAAGGAAGCATGTTTACTTGAAATTCTAAAAAGACAAGAGGTCGTCTAAGTCCCCCCAAAATTATGATTTTCATGAACAGGATGTTCTTATTTGCCCACTTTAGTGTGCGGGGCTCCCCTGTGCAGCAGCTCACAGCAGGGGCAGAAGGCCCTACACAGAGCTGGGAGACACCAAAGCATTTCCTTTAATGGCACCACCGCCACCTTGGTGCCGATAGCTTCATGGAGCCTGCAGACACGGGGGTCTCCCCTAGAGTCCTCAAAACTCACAGGCCAGGAAGGTTGAGTGGTGGGGAATGAGGAGACAGTTCACACACGACGGGGAAGTGTGCATCTGTTTCTGGGCCTTTATTATTACAAATCCAGACATATGTCACAAGATTTGGGGATGGATGTTGGAGGTGTCAGGTTGTCTGCCCCCTAGATACTATCTGTGTGTCCTGAGTGACCAGCTTCCTAACTGTTCTAGAATATTGCTGGACTCCTTAGTTGTCATGGAAATTTCTAGATGTTGAGACACAGGTACATCCATATATATCCCTTGCATTCTTGGGGCTCCAGGATCCTGCAGGAAAGGTTTTAACCTCAGTTCATCTGTGTGTCGGATGAGGGGTCCCCATGGGAAGTGATCTGCAAAGAAGATGAGGGAAACCCCGGAGAAGGAATCAGGAGGAGGGGCCTGGAGGCTTGTGGTACAGGTGGGGGTGCCAACCAGCCCCTCAGCCAGCACGGTCCCCACCCCTCCCCTGGGGGCCCAGGTGCCTTGCTGAGGGATGTCAGGGCACTGGTCAGTGAGGCCTCTCTCTGTAAGAGCTGGTCAAGCCTATTGCCTGGAAATCTTCAGGCAGTCAGGACATGTCCTGGAAGGAGAGGGAAGCAGGGCAGAGGAGGGGCTTGCCTCTGAGCCTGGCTTCCTGTTAGTCCAGCCGCTGAGGGCTCGAGCACAGAGACCTGAGGACGCTGTTGCCTTCAGCGATGACACCATGGAAGATGTGGGCCACCAATAGTGGGTCTGCCTGTTGACTCTCCATTTCCTGGCCAGATCTACTTATGTCTCTTTGTGGAAAATTATTCAGAGTCTAGCAACCAACTTTCCCTTTCCTCCCAAGGTCAGAGCCCCAAGAAGACACAAGATGGCAGCAGGGATTTCAGTGAGAGCTTGGAAGCCCTTCCCAAAGCCTTCCACAGGCAGGAGAGGGGCCACTCAGGGGGGCCTGGAACTTTCTTGCTCTTGGTGGTCCAGCAGGATTTGTGGCCTGGCCACGAATGACAGGAGTATTTTGAGATCTCCTCTGGATTGAGTGGTCACAGTTCTCTGATGCTGGACAAAGATGGTTCATGTAAACTTACCCCAAAACTTGAAGACCGATGGCCTTCGAAGCAGCCTGACTGACATCACATGAACCTGAGAAGAATTAGGAGAACTTATGTTACAGGTTTGACCTTAAGAAGTTACCGTGGCTGCCTGCCATTTCCTCTCCTGTAGGATCATGTGAAGGGGCTTTCCCACTGGGATTTTCAGTAATAGTGGTACATGGACATCATCTTGCCTTAGGGATAATTGCTTTACTGTCTGCCTTTTCTATGGGATTCTTCACTTTTTTAAAGTTCCACCTTCTTCATGGGAATTCTGGAGGAAGAAAGGTTGAGCTGGGCCTTTGGAGGCATGTTGAAGCCTGGCCACAGAGAAGGTCCTGGTCTGTGCAGCTCTGTTTCTGCGCAGTGACTGACCCCGGGGACAGTGCAGTGACCCAGACCCCACACCAGCCTGAGGGAGCCTCTCCTGTCTCGGGTGTGTGTAGGGCTGGGGTGGGGAAAGCCAGATGTTATTACAATACTGGCACCATTATCCCAACAGCTGGATGGACAAACTAAATGTGGTCTACACATAAAATGAAGTATCATTCAGCCTTAAAAAGGAAGGAAGCTCTGACACCTGCTACAGCCTTGAGGATATTATGCTGAGTGGAAAGTGCTAGTTAATAAAAGGGCAAATACTGTATGATTCCACTTAGACATAGTGTCTTGAGTAGTCAGATTCATGGACGGGGGTGCAAGGCTGCAGCAGGGATGGGGAGTTAGTGTTTCAGGCAGACAGAGTTTCTGTTTGGGAAGATGAGAATGTTCTGGAAATGGATGGAGGTGATGGCTGACAACAAGTGTACTTAATGCCACTGAACTGTCCACTTAACAGTGGTTAACATGGTGACTTGTGTATTAGAAATATTTTACCATAACAAGAACAATTAAAAAGGAAACATACTCATAGGACAGGGGGCATGAGCAGGACCAGAATAAGCCACCAGGGTGGAGTACCGGCCGGAATGAAGTACCTGAGGACCCCAGTGAGCTGTGGGTCCTCGTTGACGTTGACAAGGTGCAGGAAGGTCTTCATCATCTGCCACTCCTGGAGGGGATGCTGAGAGGGTCCCGTCACCAGACAGGGCTGGCACACCCAACAGGGCACTGTTCCTTCTACCCACTCTCTCCCAAGCCATTGGCCTGTGCATCCTGTCACACTGACTGGCTTTGTAAAGGGAACCCGGAGGAGGAAAGCAGAGCAGGCTGGGGACTTCGCGGAGTCAGCTGTCAATGGCCTGAGCTCCCCTGCACAGGACCCTGCAAAGCGTGCCAGCTCCCATCTCTCCTCCTCCCAGCAACCCTTGTGCTGTCCTCTTTTACCCTCATATCAGGCTCCCCGCCAACCCAGCTGTCTGGATGCCCCACTCTGGTACTCCCCTGGGTAGTCCTTCCCTGGGTCCCCTCTAACCCTGCTGCCCTACATCTCACTGTCCCCAGGCCCTGCCACTCATAATTAGATGTTGACCACAAATGAGCAATGTTGCATTACCCTCTCTTAGTTGCCTAAATGCACTTAATTCTTTCATATAGTTTTGGTTGGTATTGTGCTGGGGGCTGAGAGTCAAACAGAACAGGAATAAACTGCAGGCGTAAGGAAAGCTTCTAAATTTTGAAACTCTTGAACTGTACTTTTGGGTGGAGAAGAAATCACGTGGTGAGTTCTAAACAGCACTACTTTAATTCATAGACAGCCAGAGCGACAAGGTCCTTTATGTGAGGAGGCGTGAATCTCAATACTCTATTTTGTATTTGTGTGCGTGTTCCGTTCACACCACAGTTGCCAGGGTGTCCTGGAAGGCCAGCGCACTCGGGGTATTTTTCTCATCTTCTGTGACTGTGCTTATGCACAGTAGGAATCAGCTGCTGGATTTGGGTTCATCCTGTGCCTCCAGTGTTTGATGGTAGAGATTTGTGACTAAGCAGGGCCAGGCCTAGACCGCGCAGGCCTGGACTCATTTAGGAAGGGCTTTGTTGAGGCTGAGGTCTTGGTTAGTCAGGAGGCGGGAAACCTGGAGGTGTGCTGGGGCGGCGGGCGAACGGCCGTGGGAGCCAGAGTCAGTGGCGGCAGCCCAGCGGGTGTGTGCATGGGTGCAGGAACGGCTCGGGTGGGGCTGCCGTGGTCAGAGGGGCCCCTGGCCGGGGAAGCCTCCTTGGGGGAGCGGCTGGGTGGTGCCTGTGGAGCTCACGCTCCATGAACGAGCAATGAGCGCAGGTTTGGACCTTCTGTATCTTGTTCTGATGCCGAAAACTTAAACAACTTTACTTCCACGGTTTTTTATTTTGCCTTTTTGTCCATCCCATTCTAAATCATCAGTGGGCATAAATTTATATATACCTCCATGCTTGCAAACTGAGATCTGAGGCATTCCCCGGGCAGTGGCTCTTGGCAATCGCACAGCGTGGTCACCTGGGCACCTGAACCAACACTGCTGCCCCCAAGATGGGCTGATTGGCTTGGGTGGTGCCAGGTGCCAGGTGACCCTAATGTGCAGCCAGGGCTGAGCAGGGTCTTAGGAGAGAGTATGGTTGCCTAGGCTCCCTAAACTTCAAACGCCACATACCGCCTGAGGCCACCAGCTGAATGATGTCCAGCGGCAGGGAAGAGGGCTCCAGATAAAAAATGGCAACAAAATTGAGACTGAAAGGGCCAGGGGCAGGGTAGATTCAACTGCATGTGAATCTACACTTACGTCAAAATATTACTTTCCCATGATGGGGCCAAAATGTCCTAGACAAAGCCCCCGAGGGCACCCTTGCCCGGCCCGGGGTTCCCCTCGGATTCTGACCAGGTGTTCCCACGTTGAGCCTGCAGGTGGCCCGGCCCCCTGCTTGCAGCCTTCTTGCTGCTGGCTTGGACTCAGCGCTGACTGACTGCCACCCAGCTTACCTGCCGTTCTGGAGTCTCTGCGCCTGAGCAGCAGCTTGCTGGGCTCTGCCCTTGACTCGCCCCTCAGTGTCAAGGCGTTCACCACAGCCTGGTTCCGGATCTTCTTCACCCTTCGTGTTCAAAGATGAACACACGCCCAGGCCGCGGGCTGCTCCTCAGCTGGGGCCACACCCCCAGAGCGCCGCCGGAACCCGCGCCTGCTCTGCTCTCAGAGGGCCACCGCTGGAGCCCTCCACCCCCAGGGATGCGAGGCCCCCCATGTCGGGCTCCAGGAAAGCATGAAGGCCGAGGGGGCTTCCGTGACTTCCATGGTTCAAGTAACCATGAGCAGCTCAGCCAGGGCCCTGGGCCCTGAACGCACTCAGCCAGCTGGGCTGGCGCAGGTCATGAAGACCCTGTTCCTTCACTGCTGCTCCTGTGAAAGCAGGAACCCGGAGGCCATCCGCCACTGCCCTGCCTCCGAGGGGGCTCAGGGTTTCCCTTCTGGGGCTGCCAGAGAAAATATGGCCGGCAGCATACTTACGCTGCAACTGTTTTTTATCTGAAATTTGAAGTGAGGAGCGGTTCTGCGTTTTTATTTGCTAATCTGCAGCCTAACTCCTTTCTCTGGGAGCGGCGTTTACAAGGCTGGCCGCACCGTCAGCGACAGGCCGGCTGCATCCCACAGTCCCTCACGTAGGCACTGCGGCACCAGATCTGCGTCTGATGAGCAGAGAAGACAGCGGCCACTAAGGACAGCTCCACCCTCAGTCTACTTGGGGCGCAGGTGCTGGAAGAAGTTGCCTGTGGGCCTGAGCGCCAGCCAGCTCAGGAGCCTGTCCCTGAGGAGAGGGTGGCGGGTGACCAGGAGGAGGGGCCCTGGGTTGGCCATGTCCACTGTTATCCTTTCTGAGCACCAACCGTCTGGCTGAAGCGGTTCCTCAGGCCCTCCTGGATCCCGCGGCTGTACCAGTGTGGGCAACGCTGGAGCTCAGGGTCTCACGTAGGTGGGGCGCTGGACTCCGTCCCGTGCAAGCCTGCAGACCTGACAGCGCACACCTGAGGGGTGAAGAGGATGCTCCACACGCAGCAGCCCCAGCGCCGGCCCCGCAGGTGCCCGGCTCTCATGTCTGCCTGGCCATACAGGGAGTGGGCCGGGCGTGTGACTTGTGTCTGGACCGGGCTCCATCTCCCTGTGCTCTCGCCTTTCCCAGAAGGGTCAGGGCAAGCAGCGTCCAGGCACCTGCCTTGAAAAGCAGGAACGAGTCTAGCCACAGCCTCCGGCCAGGGCTGACTACATGGGCTTGTTTCCCAGCTGGGTGGCCGGGAAGGAGCCTGGGATGGCAGCCCCTCCCTGGGAAGACATACCAGGGCCTTCCGGCCTCCTCCAAAGGACACCTAAGGACCAATGCAGGGGAAGCTGCAGAGCTTGTGCCCGTTGCCAGCCTCAGGACCACCCCTCCAGGCTCATCTCTTCCGCTCCAGGCACAAAAGTCCCCCGCCAGCCAGTGTGTGCTCCCTGTGGCCCACCCACAAAAGGAGAAATCTGAGGGGCCACGCTGTTTGGGGGAAATGCAGGACACGACCGACCTCATCAGAGCTGGGATCTGCGCTTCTTCCGCTTTGAGCCCGCAGCTCCTCTCCCACCCAGACCAGAGCAACAGAAGACAGGCTCAGGGGGCTGAGCCCCAGTTCTTCCTCCCCTTATTAGTTCTATTTCCCTCACTCGTCTCCCACAAATCGTTTTGCTCTGCTTCTCCTGAATGCCTTTCCCAAATGCCAGCCCATCAAGTAGGGTGCTGGATGAATCTGCCAGATTTACAATTTAGAACCACCACTGATAGTAAGTATTCATAAGACAGGCTCAGGGGGCTGAGCCCCAGTTCTTCCTCCCCTTATTAGTTCTATTTCCCTCACTCGTCTCCCACAAATCGTTTTGCTCTGCTTCTCCTGAATGCCTTTCCCAAATGCCAGCCCATCAAGTAGGGTGCTGGATGAATCTGCCAGATTTACAATTTAGAACCACCACTGATAGTAAGTATTCATAATTGTACCTTTCAGCTTATCTTAATGTGGATAAAGTTTCCTCATAGCAGATGTCAGCTGGACTTAACGGCTACTATCCGTACGCAGTATCAGATTCTGTTATTCACACAGGGGCTTACTACTGTTACTCATATCACACAGCTAGCAGAGACTATCATGGGATTTTACAGTATTGTTCAGACTTCACAACCCTGAAGACTGAGGCTTAGAGAAAAATCATATGCTCAAGGTCACCCGGGTAATAACTGGCAGAGCCGGGACGCGAGTCAACCCGGAACTCTGAAGCCTGGCTGCTGCCCTCCACACCATGCTGCCCTCGGCAGGTTTTCTCAGGGACTGAAATCCCAGCTGGCTTTGTGGACCAATAAAAGTTGCTCATTCCTGGGTAGCCACTTACGTGGTTTTAAGTCTAGCTATTGACTGTGGTAGGGCCACTGAGAAGGGACAGGACAGTGCATACCTGCCTCTGTGGTGGCACATAACCTATGGGCCTGGAGGCCGTGACCCAGAGCACACGAGCTGGGTGTCATCCTTTACCTTTGTTTAGCTCTGCAGCTTTTAAAGGCTGCTCATTTTTATCACCTCCAGCAACATTTTCCAGTGGGTATTGTTATTGCCACTTTAGAGCTAAAGAAAACGAGGTTTTAAGATAACTACTGAAAATGGGATGGGAGCTGTAAAGACTCCAGAGCTCAGAGGCTGACTCAGCAGATTTTCTTTTTCACTCGCTGCCTGCCCAGCCCCCCACCGACCTGGTGTGCATTTGCTGTGAAGGCCCCAGGACGCCTCCCCAGGGCCTGAGCTCACAGATCCGCAAGCCCTCTGCTCTGTAAGGTTTTCACTCACATCTGCTCAGACCGTTAGATTTGGTTTTGGAGTCTAACATTCACAGGGCATCTATGGGCCTTCCTTCACTCTAGGTTCCTGGGGGATACCTCACTGAGATGCACAGGTTCTGACAACCAGAAAATCTTTAAAATGAAATATTTAAAAGTGGTTAGGTAAGAGTAAATGATAAAGAGTAAGATGTGTTTTGTGGTGAATTTTAGAGGCACATATCATAGGCCTGGCAGTGAGCATTTCTCTCCTAACCAGCACAGCAGCCTGGAGGCCAGCAGGAGCCTGGGGTGGAGTCCACCCAGTTTTGTTCATTCCTGCCCCCTGAACACATTGCACATTGCACACACTTGGCCAACATTTAATAAGAGTTTGTAGCCTTTGCTGAGATGACACAATTCAGCTCCTCTCTAGATTAAACCCTTGCCTTACGTCTAACAGCCAAACTGATTTCCAGTCTTGTAACGAAATGACTGCTGATTTAGAATAACATGACATTGTTAGTGTTACTGTAAAAACTGTATTAGTTTTTCCTAATAATAAAAGTAATATCTTCCTTGTAGAGAACCTGAAAACTACAGAAAAGAATACATAAAGCATTAAAATGAGCAAAATAGAAACTCTATTTGAGTGCTATAGTAGAAAGAGCTCCAGGAGTCTGAGCTCCTATGTAAAAGAATGTGCTGTGTGGATGAAAGGAGTATATTAGTGGTATACTGAGAACAGTCTTAATAGCAATGACAACAGCTCAGTCAGTAAAGTTGTAAGAATGTCATTTTACCAATGTAGTTCTGCTGTTACCACCCAGAGCTGACTGGAGCAATGTGGTAAGAACAGAATCTCTGTAGGGAATGTGCAAGGCTTTCTTCCCCATGGCTGTGTCAGCTAGAGCACTGAATAAAAAAGAGAATATAGAACAACAAATTAAAAAATGTATTAAGAAGAAATCTGCCTCTCTGGGGAAAAGTCAGAAACGCCCCTCAATCCCCTCTCTTACGTCTCAAGCACTCTCGGTAATATCTGGTAGTTGGGACCTTCTGTACCAAGGTGCTGGATCAGGACAGCTAAGCACGGGCCGTGGCTCCCTGTCCGCAGGCAACCCTGGAGAAATCATAGCAGAAAGAGGGTAGCCCAGATCTGAGGAGCTAACACATTAGACCTTGTCAGGAGGTCCCCCAAAGCCTGCAGGCTATTGTAGATTCTGTAGAGAAGGGCTGTGATCTGAGGGATAGTGTTCTGAAGTGTGAGGGTCAATGTGGGGAGTGGGCTGGGTCCTTGCTGTTCTCTCTCGCTGCCTTAAGAGGAGCCCCTCAAGTTAAGGCCCATCTTACCACAGCGTCAGAGTAGGAGTGAATGAGAAGTAGACGTCTCAGTCCCCACCCCACCCCAGCCGCTACATAAACAGCAGTGTTGGCACCAAAGAGACTGCTGAAGAGGAGGGAGGTGGTCCCATCTGTGAGAAATTATGATCACAGGCAAAGAAAGTAGAAAGCTAATGTAGCAGATTTGGAAAAGAAACAAAATGATCTTCTAGAGGAATGAATACAATAATTGAGATTTAAAACATGGTGGGTAGGTTTAATAGCAAATTAGACACTGCTATAACTGGAATAGTGAACTAGGTAGTTCATAAGAAATTACCAGATTGCAGCCCAGGGCCACAGAAACGGGAAACATGAAGGTTAAGAGACATGGAAGGCAGAGCAAGAAGATCCACAGGGTCCAGTTGAAGTTCCAGGAGAGAACAGGGTGTGGGGACCAGGAGAGAACAGGGTGTGGGGAAGAGGGGGACACAGACAGTATGTGGGAGATAATGGCTGAGAATATTCCAGTATTGATAAAAAAGTTAAGCTTATATTGATTTGGGGGATCTGGCAGTTACCATGAAAGATCATGGGGGAAAGAAGATATTACTCAACCAAATTAACTGGGTAAAGTAATAAAAAAGGGCGCTTTCCACTCCAGAGAAATAGGAACATAAGTATAGTTTAAGTAGATATCTTTCTGATTATAATTTTCTTAAGACATAAAAATGCAAAACATAAATCATAACTGTAATTTCTGCTCAATAGTTGCCTTAAAGTGAAAAAAATTACCAACTTAGAGAAGATGTGTATAATAACATATACCTGAGAAAAGAGTAATAAACATGTAAAGGGTGTCTCAAATTTTAAAAAGACAGTAACTCAATAGAATAATGGGAAAAGCAAAAGAACATGTATTTTGAGAGGAAACATTGCCAGTAAATATACCAAATGATGCTCAAATTTGCAAGTAACTAGGAACATCAAGACCACAAGAAGATAAATTTATATCCATTAAATTGGTAAGTATCAAGAAATTAGACACTACTACCAAGCCTTAGAAAACAAGTAAATCGTAGGGGTATCTTATCTTATACATTACTTCTGGGAATGTCAATTGGTCAGTTTCCAATTACTTTGGAAAACAGTTTGTCACCGTCTTGAAGCATTAGGTATTCACACACCTTATACATAACCCACCAATTTCAGGTTTTTGTCTATACTCCAAAGATATTTTAATATATCGGTACCCAGTGATTTGTCCCACAAGGTTCACAGCAGCACTGCTTCTAACAGCAACACACAAAAACCTGGGACAACCCAATGTCCACCAGCAGGGGAAACCATGGCAAATTCCCACAATGGGAGTAACAACTGCTACTATACAGCAAACAAGGAATCTCAGAGACACAATGTGCAGTGGAAGCACAGAAAGCATATTAACTAGCCACATATGTCGTGGATAGATACTGTTAATCTAAAAGCAAATCTCAGCATTTCTACTCCCAGGTATGTACTTAAAAGGAATGAATAATTATTTTCCCCAAAGTACATGTCCAAGAATGTTCATAGCAACTTTATTCATAGTAGTCAAAACCTGGAAACAAGCTAAATGTTCATCAATAGGAGAATGGATAAAACTGAAGTATATTCCTACAATGAAATACTATATAGTAGTGAGAAAGAACTAATAATTGCTATGCAAAACAACATGGCTTCATCTCATGGACACAGATCCTAGTGAACGAAGCCAGATGAAAAAGACATAGTTTAGCTAAGTGAGAAACGGGGAAATGGCAAGTGAAAATAGGGAAACCTGTTGTAATTAGTGAAGTGAGAGATCCAGTTTTGTCATTTTCAGGTACCTAGGGCAATCCCAACAGACTGCGAACCCAGCTAGGGTGGGCCCATGTCTTCTTACTGGTAGATCCTAACAGAGCGGTTGACACGTAGTAGGTACTCAGTGAATGCTTTTCGACAGAACAGTGTAACCTGAGCAAGGATAACAGATAGTGGTCAATACCCTGCATAGAGGCCACTGGGAGGAGCAGCTTCTGTATCATGACAATACATCCGAGTAGTTGTCCACAGTTGCCTGACGTTAAGGAGCTCCTAAAGCTTTTGTGCTTGAAAACATTGTTCTTTTATTAATATAACTATTCTTGTAGTTGTGTTAACTCTTTTACTTGATTAGCAATTCCTTTGTGGACAATATAAAAATAAATCATCCTGGTCCCTTTCTGAATTGCCACCAATTGTCTGTTACAAAGTAATGAACTCTTACTTTACTGAGCACAGTGATAAATGAGAGTAAAAATCAGAAATTAGAGATAAAGTGCCTATTGTAGGCAGAAGGCGTGTTCTGCCTGAGCTAAATCACGCTACCACGACCGTTACCACCCTGAAATCTCTACTTCCAAGGGAATCTAATCCAATTTGAACAGCATTGCCACAAGTTAAACCTAACAGGAGACTATGGGTGTTCTTTGGATCTTCTTGGGAGGTCCGTGTGGTCCCTCACTGAGACCACGGCCCTGGGTGCAAGCCCGTGTCACCTCTCACCCAGAAAGCCACTTCTGATGAGGCAAAGTAGGGGCATGCTATGGGAGTGTGGTCCAGCAGAGGCCCTCTGGGGCAGTAGGTATTACATGGTGCAGAGGGCTCTTAGTCCTGCTTCTGCCTCCAAACTGTGAGATCTTTGGAAAATGTCCCACGTTCCCACTTTCCTCTTTGTATTAGGGAGAGGAGCCCATGATCTCTGAGGTCCCCCAGCTCTAGTATGATCTGGCTTGAAGTCCTGCAGCCAAGGCAAGATCGTAGATTGAAGTTCAGGGAAGCAAAATTAGGACAGTGGGCATGGGTGCTGGAGATCAGGAGTCATCAAAGTGGAGACAGCTTCTGCTTTAGCTGGGATTGTAGGTTGCCATCCATAGATGATTCTGTTTCTGTGGGAATTGTTTGCCTTCCTTGTTATCTGTGGTTCATGTCACAGCTCACTAAATCTAAGCTGAGATCTGTTTCTTGTTATCTCTACCCCCTCATTGCCTGGTACCAGGGAAGACTTGCCCCAGCGACCTGGAGGCAATCACATTCCTGTAGTAAAGCATATTAATCATTGTGTCTAGAAACTTGTTAACCCACTCAAGAATGTGATGCCTGATCAATAAATAGGAGAGGTGCCTTTCCAGCACCACTCTTGAGCTGGTATGCCTTGAGTCCCCTGGCTGGCCTACTCAGGTCTTCGATATCTCATCGCGTTGCCTCCTTTAACTGTGGGTCAGAGACGGGGAGGAGGCCGACAAGTGGCGTCGGAACGGGACCTGAAAGACGGTCGAAACTCAGGGCGGAAAACCTCCGCTCGGTGGCACTTGCAATTCAAGGGTGGGAAAAAGCTCCGAAGATCGTCGATCAGGTGAGATTCCCGGAAAAGTGTACGTAGGGAACAGGATCAAGACGTCAGGGACACTATAATGGGCCAACATGAAATCAAAGCAGATAAACCGGAGGATTACTTAAAATTACTCCGTGCCCTCCTGAAAACACCAGGAGTGAAAACTTCTAAAAAGAACTTTGCTCAACCTTATAAATATATTAAAAAGTATTGTTATCAGTTGCCTCCACAGGGAACCCTCAGACAAGCTGATGGGAGTAATGCATTAAGAGATTTCAAAGAGGCTCACAGACAGGGAAACATTATCCCTGTGCCTGTTTGGGTGGATCAATAGCCCCTTAATAAAGAAAAAGTGGCATCCTTACACAAGTTAAAGAACAGCTTCAGCTAGATAGATTAGAATTTTCGAGCCCGTGGAATTCCCCTGTATTTGTTATAAAAAAGAAGTCAGGAAATTAGAGACTCTTACATGACTCATGACTTAAGGCAAATTAATGCTGTTCTTAAACCTATGGGACATTTACAACAAGGCCTCCCTTTTCCAGCTATGATTCCAAAAGACTGGAATATGGCTCTCATTGACCTTAAAGATTGCTTTTTTACCTTTCTCCCCATTCAAAGCAGTCCTCTTAGGCCTGCATTACTTTGTCCTGTGTAATGTAGAGTCTGTAAAGTAATCAAGCTGAACCCTCAGATCAACATGTAAATAGCTCTATTCTATTAACTGCTTTCCTTAAAGGCAGTCGTCCTGGAGCTAAGCATTTCCTTGTCTGCAGCCCCAGGGAAGCAAAACAAGCTTGTGACTCAGATCAAGGCTCTAGTAACAAAAAGTCACACAGTCCCTGCACTTATCAGACAGGCAGGGGCCTCTCAAGGAATGACTAAACCTCGGGCAGAGAAAACTAGGAAAACTAACTGGGAGCAATTCTATCCCTAAACTCTAAAAAAGAAGTGTCTTACCTTCTGCACACAAACCTGGCCCCAGTACAAACTCTCTGATTAGAGAGGCTTGGCCCCTGAAAGAAGTATGCAATATAATGTTATGCAGCCACAAGGGAATTTTGCCACAAGGGAAGTAAATAGTCAAAAGTCCCATGAACTACTACAATATGAAGCTAGTTTTCTAAATTCTTTTAGTGAACATCTATTCTATTTATTAAGTTCATCATTATCTTTGAGAATTGAGAAGTCTTAAACTAAACTCCCTGAGACAGAAGAAATTTATCTTCTGCAATATAGCCTGGCTTTAAATGACTGGAGCTAGAATTGTACTTGCATTTCATTTCCAGCCCCCTGGACACACACAGTCCCTATCATCAGTTCAGAGCCTTCATCGGCCCTGTTAGTCTAGGGCCATCTAAACCTTAACCCAGTTATGTAAACTGTTTGCCCTTAGAGTGTATTCTTGAAAACTGAAGTACTTTTAATCAAGTAAGCTAAAAAGAAGGCAATTAAATATTAGTAACTCAAATCTTTATATCAGTTTGTCTCTCTGTGTATGTTTTTATATGAAAAGTGTTGCTAATTGTAGTCGTTACGTCTCAATTTGTATGTTTGTGTGTCTAAGTGTGTAAATGAAAAATATTTTCCCACCTCCAGATGGTATTAATAAAAATTGATTTAAAAACAAGCGCTTGTGAAAATTAGGCATTCTAAAACTTTCAGAAAATCTAATAAAAAATATAGTAAGCATTAATGCTAATTTAAGTTTAACTGAAATGGACATGTCCTTATAGTTATCAGCTGCCAAAGTTTACTTAAAGTCATTTAAGTTGATGTTACCTGTTAAACATTTCAAGAAGATGCTTAAAGAAAAGTTTGACTTTGTCTAATGTTTGGCAAAAGTTTTGTAAGTAATCTAGCATGGTTGCTAAAAATAAGTAAACAAGTGTAGCAAATAAACATCTTAATAATAATACTGTATTAATGTATAACAGTGTATATATATGCAAACAGCCTGAGAATTTTTGTGGTAACCAAAGTTCTTAAAGTTTGCTAAGTTATATAGACATATTTTGTGCCTAATGAGAAATTGGGCTGTAAAGCACATTTCCAAAAATGATAATATATGTTCATAGATGTATCAATCTGAAGAATGCTAGTGTAACAGTTTACAGTGGCCTATTTTTCAGTGTTCAAATGGTTTTAAGTTCTAATGAAAACTACTTAATATAATAAAGAAAATATTTTGGTATGCTAAATGTGAGAAACACACTCACTGGTCCAAATTCAATAAGTGGACACGGAGACAAAGAGAACAGCGGAGCAAGGCTTTAATGACGGTCTTGCAAGATCGGGTGTCTGGTGGGCAGGCACACCTGGGGAGTTTGGCACCAATAATTTATCTCCTAGTACGTGAGTCCCTCCCCTGGTTCCTCATTGGCTGAGTACTACAGGGTTCACATTTTTTCCCGGATGTCACCTAAGCCGGTTATATCTTTCCTTTACATTTGTCTTAATATTATTGCTGGTTTAAAAATCTCAAACAGGTATTGCCAGGCCCTTATCAATCCCCCGATCCCCACTCTCAGCCTGAGCAGCTTCCACCACGTGGCCCTTTGTTAATACCTTACTGTTAAAATGTTTAAACATCCTAGTGGGAATAAATCACATTTAGGTTTTAAACTCTTTCCTAACATAAAGATGTGTGTTTTAATAAGAGAAAGTATAAAGAATGGAAATTCATTTTGTTGAGGGTAAAACAAGGTAATTGTTCTACAGTACAGCTATTTACTTAAAGGGGAGAACACTGAATGTAAAAACAAAGTTGTAGAAAGCTTGTGGAAAAATTTAGTCATGCTATGTGTAATTAAAGCAAGTGAGTTTTGATATCAAGTACACAGCAAAATTAGAATTTTGTTTTTAGTTAAAAAGACAAAGTTTTCTTAAACTGTTAGTCTGCTCTTGATGTTGAAAGATTGCAAAAGGTTTTCTAATTGTTTTATCAAAATAGTTTCTTATGCTTAAAGTCTCAATGAATTGTCTGAGTATTTAAGAAAATGAGATTCTAATATCAAAGGACTAAAAGTTAAACTTTGCTAACAACTGTGTAAACTTCTGTATCTGCCTTTGAAGTATTTTGTTGTCATTCTAGTTAAATAGATAAGTATTGCTTCATGGCAACCTATAATCTTGTTTAATCAAATGCCAAAGAAAACTTTCTTTTGACAACTTTCCAAAATCAAATTCCAAAAGGTACTTTTACCTCTAGTTAACTCTGATATTTTCCAGAGGGCCCCTGGAACATGTCAGAAGAATTTTTTCTCCTCATCAGGAAAAATATTTGGCTAATTTGGCTTATTTATCTGATATATATTTACCTAGAAAGCACTGTCAAAAGGAATGATGCTAAACTTTGTTACTGAATGTTTTGTGGCACAGAAATATCCAAATTTTCTTATGTCAACTATCTTATGTAAGCTCTCATCAAGTCTTTAACCATTGTCATTTGTAAGTCTTTTGTCATATAAAGTCACTGTTTTTTTACTCCTAAACTAGTAAAGAACTAGATTTCAGTAGAACAGGTATTAGTTACATAGGCTTAAGTAAACTAAAGAAGACAATTTTGTGGCTTTTTGTTTCAGATGTTGCTGGCAACATGTTTTAAGCTTTTTCTCTTAAGCTGACTGACAATGTCAGTTTACCTCTCCTCTACGCTAAAAAAAAATTTTTTTCAGCTATATAATATCACTCATAAAACAGGTATTTTATATAATTCTACAGGCCAAGCTCTAATTGAACATTGCCATCCTACTCTTAAGCATTATTTATTAAAACAAAAAGGGGGATTACTGCCCGATATGATAAAATTAACTGCAAATCAATGATTAATACATGTTTTACATATCCTTAATTTTGGTCTTTTAAAGGGTGACAGACAGTCAGCTATGGAAGTGCATTTTTCTGACAATATTTCTTTTTCTAAAACAACAGCAGTTCCTGTATGGTGGTCTCTTCACAATGGCATAAAGGTTCTTCACAAGGCATTAAGGTCATATTAAGGTGTGGGGCAAAGGGTTTGTTTGTGTCATTACAGAGAACCAACACTTGATCTGGCTGCCTAGAAAGCGGATCAAGATACGCTATAAAGAGTAACTCCCAGCAACATTTCCATCTGAGACAGCTGTCCCAGGCGATGTTCCTCAACTGGTTCCGTCACTGGAGTGAGGATCCCTACATGATAATGAAGTTTTTGATTCTAATCTCTATACACATGTAGATAACCCAGGCCTGTACTACTACTGCTAGTATTAGCAGTCCTCCGTACTTCAGCCGGGGAGTAGTACTTCATTGTATCTCCACTTGTTCAATTCCTGTAGGCCCAGTGATTTGGAAAAAAGATGGTAATGAAATATATAGACAGAAAGATAGAGGAAAACTTGGTTGGGATAATGCTACTGGTCAGTCTAAAAGAGACAATACCTGCTATGATATTTATAAAACAGTTTTAACCTGGAATGATATTGGCAATTATTCTTGTGAAAAATTCCAGAAGGGAAGCCCTGATCAAATATATAAAAGTAATTATGTTTATTTGGATATTTCACTAACTGCAGAGAATGAGTATTCTTCACCCAATATGTGGTTGCAATTGGCTAATCAAGGGCTTAACAAGACATCCTTTTGTGTAACAGGTGATTCCTCTATTAGTGGAATCTTAAGGAAGAATTTGATAGGCATAGGACTCCCCTTTTCAGTGTTTACTAATATTTCTGGAATAAATATTACTTTAGTCCCCAAGATTCTTACTCAAGAAATTCAATTGAATTTACCAGTTAGCACTACTACGGTTTCTAGTTGTGTATGTATCAATTGTACTAATATACCTTCTTACTGTAATTCTACTGTTCATATAAAATGGCTATATGGATATAGACTCCCAAATGGCTGGGTGTTTTTGTGTGATAACAAAACCTATCAAGCCTTTTCCTCACATTATCAAGGTGTCTGTGGTATAGGATGTATTCTCCCAGCCCTTATAGATCATCCTGGATTTAAACACTAAAAAGTAACCCGAGCCCTGCCTCCAGATTGTGATGACAACTTGAAATTGTTGGACCCTGTTGCTGTTGCAGTCACAGCTGCATTTGTATTGCCTGTACCAGGACTCGTTGTAAGAATGCAGAAGGAAATATCTAAGCTGGCCTGTGCCTACAGCAAAACTACAAATCTGACTGCTTCCAGACTGTCAGAACTTAATCAGGAGTTTGGAGAAGTTCAAGTGGCAGTGCTTCAAATCGTGCTACCATAGACTATTTGTTGCTGAAAGAACATTTGGGCTGTGAACAATTTCCTGGAATGTGTTGTTTTAATATATCTGATTTTTCACAGACAATCCAAAACCAGCTGGATGATATTCACTATGTTATTGATGAGTTTTCACAATTACCTGGATTACCTGATTGGTTCTCTTGGTTTCACTGGCTATGGCCAATACTTACAGGCCTACTTCTTTTATATATTTGCCTTCCCATTTTAGTAACATGGGTGCGCCATCTGATTGCTGGCTTAATAAAGCCAATTCATGCATATACTATATTTCAAGAAATCATGGCAAAAAATTAATAATTACATGTTATTTTCTTGAGAGTCCGTATGACAGATCACTGTATATTTTTAAATTCCGCAGCAATTAAGGGGATGACAAAGTGTTTGCATAAATCTTTTGTATGCCTCTTTGCTCTATCGCATTTACTCCCTGTATGGCCCCAAGAGATGGCTGGCTGGCCAGAGACGGGTAAGATTCCTCACGGGAGGAACAACCTAAGACAGGTACAGTCGCAGGGGGGCCAACAGGTTGAGAGATGAGGGGGTCAACTGAGGCGTGGCTTAGCACCTCGCCCCCTTAGAATGGTGCAAGACACATGATAAATACTTGATAAAACTGAAGTTCTCAAATGCTGAGTGCCTCACATATTTTGCTTATCTCAGGCAAAATTTAATTGAACTTGACTGACATTCCTTTCTCAAAATATGTCTATACATAGGGTAATCAATTGAGCTGTGTCTAAAAATTATGTGGGCAATAGCTGTACTTTTAAATCTTAAGTTTAGCATGAAAAAGGAATTTAAATTCAAACTATAACTTTTATTTATTGCAGCATGCCTGAATAAAAAATTATTATACTCTTTACATAAAAAAAACACTTTCACTGCAGTTGTCTTTTAAAGCAATTCACCTGGTCAGCAAAATTACTGCTAGGATCAGCTGAAATAAACACACCATCTTTATCCTTTTGAAATATGTGAGACCAATATGCCAGGTCAAAAGTAAATATCATCCTAAGTTTTGGATTCTTAGGGTCTTGTATAGTGGTCGTGGTCCTGGAAGGCATAGAAATCACACATTTGCTCCCAAAATTATTCTTGCTCTACAGTCAAATTACAAATCCAGAGTCAATCATATACTTAGTTCTTTGTCTTCCAAGTTAATTGTTTTGCAAGGCATTATATCTAGTAAGAAACTAAGCCAGGAACTTAGCATTCATTCTTTTTGTTCTCTAGCTGTGTTACTCTTAACAGCTGTTATGACAAGCAGGTGCTCATATTCTCCCTCAAAATTTTTGGAAGGCCTCTCTGGTTATATGAATATTCTGAGGAGAGCCTATCCAATACCCAGCCATCCTAACAGCAGTATCCCGAGCAGCAGAGAGGTCCCTTTCTATCATGGCAAAGTGAGGGGCTCCACTGTGCCACTCCCCAGTGAAATGGGTGAAAATGATTAAGGAAAAATGAAAATGAAAAAAAAAAATAAAGACCACTTAAAGCCTCTGGAAATAGTTCTAAGGGTAAGCAGACAATCAAGAAAATATATGCAAGAAAATCTATCAAAATCAAGTAAGAAAAGGAGTCTGTGGTATTTGAAGCAAGACCATTTCCTCCCTGTCCCCTGCTAGCAGAGCACAGTGGAGACTACTCCAGGCTGCTAGCGCTGAAAACACAGGGCTCCCTCTCCCCACAGATCCCAGAGGCTTTCTTCCTGGTAAGAACAGGATACTAAATTTGTCAACCTGCTCCCATCTACTTGCCGAAGCTGAGCTCTGGGAGGGAGTGGGTGAGAGGTAGAGATTCTCTCTTCCACCCAGTTGCCATGCATGGAATGGAGGCTCAACTCTTGTTGCAGTATGCTGAGAATACTGGGGTGCCAATCACCCCGCCAGCTCCTGAGGTGGTGGTTCCACACCAGGAGAGCTGCTGAGGGGACCTCAGGCTGTTCTTCCACATTCACCCAGTGCTGCCCAGGCTTCTAGAGCAGAATGTCACTAGGAGCAGTTTGCTGTTGTCCCCACCCCCAAATCCAGAGCCCTTGTTTTAGAGATCTTGCCTAGCAGGACAGCACCCAATCTCTTTCAAAGGAACTGACTTCACATGCCTCCTCAGAGAAGTTGAATCCTAAGGGCATTCTTGAGAGCAGAGGTTGTGATAGAGGAGGAGGTTGTAATGGGAAAAGATTCACGATATGGGTAAAAGTATAGGCCCCCTGTTTTGAAGGGAGGAACAGAGGATATAAGATAGCTGGGAGGAACCCACCTGGGGTCAGAAAAGGTATCAATCACTAATCTCAGAAATTGTTCCTTTCAAAGGAAGCAGAATTTGAATTAGTTTGTACATTAATTTATGTCCTTAGGACATTGTTGTAAACAGCAATCAGTCAGCAAGTAGTGGAAATTAGCAGTTAGGTGTGGTCAAGTGAGGAAGAGGGACCTACCAGAATCTCTTGTCCCAGGGCTATGGGGCATACCCAGAGTTGTGCCTTCCTGAAAAGTAACAAGGGTGGGAATCACTAGAGACGCAACTAAAAAGCTATGGGAGGGGTGGCTCAGTATCCAGATTTGCTACAATATATTATCTAAACTGTCCAGTTTCTGATAAAAAATTATAGGCATGCAAAGAAACAGGAAAGTAAGACTCCCACACTGGGAAAAAGCAAGCAACAGAAGGTATCTATGAGAATGACCACCTGCTGGACTTAGCAGAAAAAAATTTTAAAGGAACCATCTTAAACATATTCACAGAACTATATATATCAAATACCTGAAATGACTTGACTGATGTATTCTACCAAACATTTAAAGAACATCAATTTTTCATAAACTCTTCCCAAAAATAGAAGAGGGAACACTCCCTTTTTTATGAAGCCAGTATTACCAATACCATATCTAGAAAAATACAGCAAAAGAAAATAAAGCCAGTATCTGTTATTATGGATGCAAGAATCCTCAACAAATCATCAGCAAACTGAATCCAGCAGCATATAAAAAGAATTATACATCATAGCCAAATGGGATTTATCCTACGGATGCAAGGTTAGTTCAACAGAATGGGAGAAAATACAACACAGAATGGGAGAAAATTTGCAAATCATAGATCTAATAAGGAATTGTATCATGTAAAGAAGAGTTCAGTATGAAAAGATAAGTAATCCAATTAAAGGTAAGCAAAGGATCTAAGTAGATGTTTCTAACGGGCAATAAGCACATAAAGATCCAAAAATGTATTGTTTCTTATTTCCTATATTTTATGAAGTTTTGACATCTTGGGGCCTGGAAGGACTGCCCCATCCCCATCCCCACGTCTAACAAATCCTAGATAGCCAACAACTTGCCTTTCATGCAAACCAACCAACCAAAAGTCCATATCCCAAACACCTCCTTTTATCTAACTCACACCAAGCTAATATTCTACCTACCCTACATCATCCCAAGGCCAGGTACCCTGACAGCTAGAAACTACCTCTAGCCCACAGCCTACTGAAATTACTCAAAGTATCCAATCCTATGACAGTGCAAACTTGCCTACCATGTCTAGTCCATTCTTTCTGCAGAAACCAAAATAAGACTGTAGACCCTATTTCTCCTGTCTTCTGACCAACTTTAATACTTCCCTATGTGGCTCTGTGGAGCATGCACCACTCTTAGGACTTGTAAAGCAGTTGTCTCTGTCACCTTCCTATGCCTGATTAAAACAAATCTTGGGTGTACTTTACAAGAATGATTTAATATAATACATTCTATCAGGAGAATGAAAACTAAAAATCACAGTATTTCAATAGATGCAAAAAATGCATTTGACAAAATTCGACACTAGCTCATGATTTTGTATATAGAAAATCCTAAGGAATCCACTAAAAAACTATTAGAATCAATGAGTTCAGTAAGGTTACAGTGTGGTACTTCTGTACTAATGTAATGGAATTGAGAATCCAGAAATAAACCCAGATAGCGGTGGTCTACTGATCTGAGTAAAAATACTCAACAAATTAAGAATAGGGTGTTATTTCGTCAATCTGATAAAGGGCATCTATGAAACACCCATGAATAATATACTTAGTGGTCAAGACTGTTGCACTAAGATCAGGAAGAAGAAGACAAGGATTCCTATTCTTGATACTTTGATTCAATATTGCATTGAAGGCTCAAGCCAGGGCAATTAGGCAGAAAAAAGAAGGAAAACGAAGAAGGAAAACAATCTCTATTGCAGATGACATGATTGTGTATATAGAAAATCCTAAGGAATCCACTAAAAAAACTACTAGAATAAATGAGTTCAGTAAGGTTGTAGGATTCAAGATCAATTTACAAAAATCAACCCTATTTCTCTACACTTGAAACAATCTGGAAATAAGATTAAGAAAATACAATTCCATTTATAAATAACTTTATTCCTAAGTATTGTTCCTTTTCATGTTAACAAAAAAAGTGCAAAACCTATATGAAGAAGACAAGGATTCCTATTCTTGATACTTTGATTCAATATTGCATTGAAGGCTCAAGCCAGGGCAATTAGGCAGAAAAAAGAAGGAAAACGAAGAAGGAAAACAATCTCTATTGCAGATGACATGATTGTGTATATAGAAAATCCTAAGGAATCCACTAAAAAAACTACTAGAATAAATGAGTTCAGTAAGGTTGTAGGATTCAAGATCAATTTACAAAAATCAACCCTATTTCTCTACACTTGAAACAATCTGGAAATAAGATTAAGAAAATACAATTCCATTTATAAATAACTTTATTCCTAAGTATTGTTCCTTTTCATGTTAACAAAAAAAGTGCAAAACCTATACTGACTACAAAACATCCTTGAAACTATCTAAAAACTGGAAAAACATCCCATGTCCATAGATCGTAAGACTTCGCATTGTTAAGATGGTAATACTCCCAAAATTGATGTACAGACTCAATGAAATCTCTATGAGAATCCCACCAGACTTTTGTATAAATTGACAAGCCAATTGTAAAAATCATGGAATTGCCAGGCACCCAGAATAGCCAAAAAAATCTTGAAAAAGAAGAAAAAAGTGGGATTCGTATTTCCTTATTTCACAAGTTGGTACAAACCATACACTGATCAAGGCAGTGTGGTATTGGCACCATGATAGACATACATAAATTCTATAGTAAGGTAATGGAATTGAGAATCCAGAAAGAACCCCAGACAACTATGGTCTACTGATTTGCAGCAAGGCTGCCAAAATGGGAAACAATAGGCTTTGCTGGAAATAGGGCCGGGGAAAACACCATAGCCTCATGCAAAAAGAATGAGCTTGGACCCTTATTCACCTCATACCATACACAAAAATTAACTGAAAATGGACCAATGACCTAAAAATAAAAGTATAAAAGAAAACATAGGAGTACATCTTTATGACCTTGGATTTGGACAAATGAATCCCAGATAGGACAAAAGCACAAATAATTTAAAAATTGGACTTCATAAAAACTACATACTTTTGTATTTCAAAAGACACCATTAGGAAAGTGAAGACAACACATAGAATGTGAGAAAATTTGCAAGTCTTAGATCTAATAAGGAATTGTATCCAGAATACATGTAAAGAAGAGTTCAGTATGAAGATAAATAATCCAATTAAAGATGAGCAAAGGATCTAAGTAGATGTTTCTAATGGGTAATAAGCACATGAAAAGATGTTTGACATCATTCACTATCAGATAATTGGAAATCCAAACCATAGATACCACTTCACACCAACTTAGAATGGCTACAAAGTCATATAACAAGAGTTGGCCAGGACTGGAGAAATGCAACCCCGCTGAAATTGGAACACTGATAGTGGGAATACAAAATGATGCGGGTGCTTTGGGAAGGCCTACCAGTTAGTTCTTCAAATGATCAGAAAACCATGACTCAGCAATTCCCTGCCAAGAGAAATGAAAACATGTATCTACACAGAAACTTGCACATGTTTATAGTGTTACTGTATTTTACTGTTTTTTTCCAACAGGTGGATAAAACTCAAACATCCACTGAGGAATGGATAAACCAGAATAAACAAGATGTGGTATATCTGTATAATGGAGGGTCACCCAGCCATAAAGAAATGAAATTTTGATATATGCAACCACTTGGATGGATCTTGAAAATGTCATGCTGAGAGAAGCCAGTCACAATTACAGGCATTTTGTTTCACTTTACTGCACTTTATGCATATTATGTTTTCAAATTGAAGGTTTGTGGCAACTGTCATTCAAGTCTATAAGCACCGTTTTTCCAACAGCATTTGCGACTTTTTCATTATTATATTATGCTAATTTGTAATTGGTGAATATGACTCACTGGAAGCTGACATTTTTAGCAATAATGTTTAATTAAGGCATGTACATTTTTTCTAGATATGCTATTGCACACTTTTAATAGGCTACAGTATAGTGTAAATACAACTTTTATTTGCATTGGGAAAGCAAAAATTCATGCTTTACTGCAGCAGTCTGGAGCCAAACCTGCAGGACCTCCACGGCATGCCTGTACATATAATTCCATTCTTATGAAACGTACAGAACAAGGAAATGCTCTGAAACAGAATTAATGGTTGCTTAAGACTGGGGGAATAAGGAGGATAAAAGGGCAGAGATTTTTTGAGGTGATAAAAATGTTCTAAAATTGACCATGGTGATGGTTGCATGTTATCTGTAAATATACTAAAAATCACGGAACTGCACACTTTAAATGAGATGTGAATTCTCTCAATGAAACTATTTAAGAGAGACTATGGTGAAAAATTATAGAAGTCAATATTGAGAGTAATTGTCAGGCACTGTGCTCACTGATTTACACATTTTATCTAATTTTTCTAATAGAAATCCTTTCAGGTGTCAATGTCCAGGTATCTTTCTTTATACATAAGGAAGCTGAGGTTCAAAGAGCTTAAAACCTTACTCAAGGCTACAAAGTGGTAATAAGAGTCAGGTCTTGAACCCAAATTCATCTGACTTCTAAGGCTTCTGAGAATGTATTGCCTCGTATAAGAAAGTCTCATCAAGTTGGTCTCTTATCCCACAATAACAGGCTGAATATGAAATTAGAAATTAGGCAAAGTCCAGGTAACCTAGCAGATATTACGTTGTCCAGGTTGTGATCTATAATCATTTACTCTCAAATTGTCTCTCCAAGTCATCCTCTTTCCTATTTGCTACTGTTCTAATGTAAGCTAATGAACTTTGGTGTGGGACTTGATCTTTTTGAAGAGGGGGCCTAAAGGCTGTAACTTTTAGTGTCTACTTCTACATCCTTAACTGTTTATAACTTGCAGTTAGTTGTTCTAGCAATATTAAAGGCCAATGAAAAATACACCTAGAATCAACTACTTTTTCAGTGTATTGATGGGTTAGGTTATAAAATGGTTTCATTTCCCCTTATTTTTGGCCAAAGGTACTTAATTTACTGATCACAAGTTAATTCTTTTGACTTTTTTTGATCAGTTGCCTGAGAACCCTTAGAAGCCTTTAACAGTTGCTACACTTAAATATAGTTATATGTATATATATATATATGAAGCTCTTTATGTATCTGCCTGGTTGCTGAAATATTTTCTACAATATAGATGGATGTTAAGGGACAGAACTGATGCCAACTGAAAATATACAAAGCAATATTGAATAGTGATAGACAAGAGAGAAAAAGCAAGTAGTGCAAAGAAGAGCTCATATAAGGTCATCATTACATCATATCCCATTCAGGATCAGTTATTCTTAAACAAGCCTGTTGTTCTGTCCAGCATACCCGTATCCAAATCTCACTTGTCTTCTATGGTCATCTCAAATGCTTGCATCTTTAGGAAATCTTCAAGATCTGTCTGGGTAGAATTGACTATACCTGATTTTCTCTGGGTTCCAAGATTATTTTACCTTACTACTGTAGTACATACTGCTTTAAATTATTTACTTGGTAAGACTGTAAGCTGATGGAGAGCAAAGGATTTTTCTGTGTATCCTGGCTTACATGGCATCCATAAGAGATAGTCAAAAGTTTGCTGAATGGGCCAACTGTTCAGAATTACCTTAGAATTAAAGTAATGAACTGACAATCAAAGATAAACAATTAGCACAAGGTTCTAGAATGAGTATAATCCATATTTTATCCTAAATTGTAGCAACACAGTTTGAAGAACAGTATGTATTAAACACAAAGGCATTCAGGTTATAGAGTTCGTAGAGAATGGGTAATTTGCTGATGATCTATTGTTACTGAGGGGAAAAAAGTACATAATTAAAAGCAGACAGCACAGGTCTATACTCACCAAACTGCATTGGTTTAAAAGATTATTAACATGACAGTACATCTCTTGTCAATTTTTTATTGTGCTACTTGCGCAAAGGAATGAAATTGTTTAGTGCATTATATTTAGACCTTTAAATTACTCATTTAACAAGTTTGTTTAAATAAACTTAATTATTCCATAGATGACAAGCAGTTTAAATACAAGTTTGATAACTATCATTAAAAAAAATCAATAATTATTAACGCAAGTCAGACACATTTTTGCCAAGGCCACGCGACACTGATCACTGACCTGGCTAAAAGGCCGCACGTGCACCGCTACTTTTACACTGTCTGGACTCAGCACAGGCATTTTTATCATTTTCCCATTATACATGTTGTTTGGTAGAAAACGATGTCAAAAGCACACTGCTTAAGCTTCACACTAAAACATTAAAAGCTTCTTCAACAAAGAAGATGATCAATTATGAATAGTCCATTCATTACACACTATCAATTACCTGTTATAAATTATTTTACAAGACTTATTTATTGATGCATTTTATAGCCTACATCAAGGATCACCACCTAGTTGCACACAGTCATACTGCAGAGAACAGTGTTTGATTTTTTTCCCCTTTTTCCACATGTACTCATCTCTTTCCCCAACCTCGATAGTCTGTGCCTGAGGTCCTCTGAGAATCTGTCAGTTAAAACCTGAATATTAAGGGATTTCTGTGATTCAGTAGCAGGCTCCTTCACAGTAAGAATATAAAATTTTTTCAGACTTCTATCGATATTAGGCACACACAGGGTGCAACTAATAGCCATTAAACAGATTTGTTTTACATTTCCCTTCCTTCTCAAACCCTTTTAAGAAGTTGCTAGTGAGCAGTGAACCGGTCAATCTAACCTGAATAATTAGTCTCTGAATAATTAAGAGACTTTAAAGATAAATAGCCTTTCAGCTTGCTGAACAAGAAATGCCAACATTATATTTAACCAATTCATTACTTGGAAAATTACTCATTTGAGGTAGAATACACAAAATTTGTTAACTACAAAAAAATCAGCAAAATTTCATGCCCGTAATTAAATTTCAACATAGTAACAGCCCCCAAAAATTATACCATCTGATTAGAAATCTTAATCACAGAAGCAAAGTGCATAAATTATAAAATAGCAATTAAAAAAAGCAGTTCAATCACCCTCATTTAGAGATTGGTCTAATACTTTTAACTGTAGAGAAAGAAAATGGAACCAATGGCTGCTAGCATATAAAATTCTTAAAACAGAAATCCCCTCTGAAAAATCTAACAGACACAAACTACTGTTAAGTATACACTTTATTTGACATTCCAGTAATAAGCCATATTTACATATTATATAAATGTATGAAGTCTTAATATAAAATAGAAAAACTGCCTGGACTAAAAGAATTACACTCCATATGGAGTTACTTTACTTATTGAAGACCTTTTGTTTACAAAAATTTACAATAATTTATATAAATTATCTTCTTCCAAATTAGGTGGTTTTTAATAATCCACACAATTCTGATGACTTTACAAATAGGTATACATTTAAAACTTGAAAAAAAATTACAGCATTTTTCTGCGTAAAACTTGTTTTGGAAAGGAAGACAGTTTCTTTCTGCTCCTTCCAGGAGCTTTTCCTGTTGCTTCTGTAGTTTTTCTTGGCCTGCTCTTCACTCCATTAGTCGGGCTTGCCAAGGGAGAAATCAGCTTAATTTCTCCTGGAGGAGCTGACCAACTATCTTCCTCTGTGTTTCTGAAAAAAGATGTAATTCAAGTAGGAATAAACACATAGTAAAACAGTGGCTTATAAAACTGGCTTCCCAATTACACTGGGAAAAAACCTCAGGGGTTGATTACCCTTTCCTAGAACTTTCATTTTAGAAAGGGGTGATGAAGTGAAGCAGTAAGTCATGTAAGCTAATTAGAAGTGGAGTTAAGGTTTCACATGACAAAATTTTCCCTTTCTGATTGCGATTATGGCTGAATTTTCTGTTTCGTATGTATTAATAAACACTGCTGGGTAACAAGGATGGGCCAAGTATCAGCAGTCAGTACATGGAATGAGAGCCCATCATGCCCACGAAGTGTTTGACAAATGACAATTAGCAATTACATATACATTTTCATAACAGGAAGTATGTTCCACAGATATACAAAGCCAATTTATCTGCACAGTCTTAAGGTCAAAAGTCACATTAAGTCAGTTTTTAAAACAAGATAAAATGGATTACACTTTGTATTTTTATGAAATTCAACAATGCCTAAGCACAAAAATACCTAAAATGGACTAATTTCCTCAAGAAGTTTTATTGCTATCAGTGAGATAATCACAGGATTTTTAAGTGAATGATTATTTTTACTAGTAGTTATCTACCTTTACTAAAGAAAAGGGGATAAGGGGTATTAAGATTAGCACACATAATGTAGCAGAGGTGGGGCATGGCGAAGGCAGTATAGCACAGAGAAGACAAGTAGTGACTCCATAGCATCTTACTATGTTGATGGACAGTGACTGTATTGGGGGTATGTGGTGGGGACTTGATAATGGGGGGAGTCTAGTAACCACAATGTTGCTCATGTAACTGTATATTAATGATACCAAAAAAAAAAAAAAA